GAGACGCCTAGCGTGTATGTACGAGATGAATTCAGTGGATCTAGGTGTTAGATTCTCTTTCACCTCTATAGACTTTCCCTCTCCAGACTTTAGTTGAATCGTTCGTCGTCGGCAATCGATAATTGCTTGGTGTTCGGTGAGCCAGTCCATTCCGAGGATGATGTCAAATTCTTTGTACGGTAATTCGACAAGATTGGCAAAGAACTGATGTCCTTCAACAATCAATGGACAGTCTTGATACACATGACCTAACCTCATACTATGTCCTAACGGGTTAGACACTAGTATAGGTTGTTCCAATTGTTCTTTCATTATGTCAGCCTTGTCAGGTATAGGTACGCAGATATAAGATAACGTTGATCCAGGGTCTATCAACACATGCATGACAGAATCAAATAAGGAAAACATACCCTGAATGACGTCAGGGTTTTCCTCAGCTCGTGCCTTCATTGCATAAGTACGAGCAGGAGCTCGTCCCTGTTGCTGACTCTAGTTCTTGGCCGGATTAGATCTTGCCGTTGATCGTTGACTTGGCGCAGGTCGTGCTGATGCTGATTGGCTGACAACTAGGGCTATCGGAAATGGTTTTCCAGGATTAGTGGGGCAATCCCTTCGAAAATGTCCAGGTTTGCCGCAACCTAGACATAATCCTTGGGCAAACCAACACTCGCCTGGATGATGTCTCCCACATGTATCACACAATGGGTGTTTCCACCCTTTTGATTTGTTTTCCGACGCCACAGAGTGCGTCTGCAACGATTTCCCCTTCTTTGAGAAGTGTGAATTGCTAGATTCCTGGAAAGGCCTTTTTCCTTTTGAGATAGAGCTGATGGGACGGTGAGTGCTTGAACTGACATTATTTGTCTTCAGATACTCAATGCAAGCACTCAAGTCGCTATCTGCCCGTGCTATGAGATCATAGGCCTCCGCGAAATCCACGGTGGTTAGGACGGACACACGCGACCTAAGGTCAGGTCGAAGTTTCTTCCTGAATTCCTCGATGCGATCGGTTGGGGTACTCACCAAGGTTGGTGCAAACTTAGCAAGACTGGTAAACTTCTGACGATACTCGGGGAGTGTCATGTCTCCCTGTTGCAATTCGACAAATTCCTTACGTTTTTCTTCACTAAAACGTTTTGGAATATATTCTTGTTTGAATGCCCATTCGAAATGTGTCCATGTCCATGGCTTAGGGGTTCCTGCACTCTCATCAGTCCTCTTCCACCACTCGTAGGCTTCCTTGCGAAGCAGCTGAGACGCCAGTCGGGGATAGTTGCCAATGGGTACATTAAAATCCTCCAACACTCGAGCAGTCTGCTCGATCCAGTCCCATGCAATTTGGGGTTCACCGATGCGATCCCCAAGGAATAATTCTGCACCGTTATCCCTTAATGTTTTGTAGGTTATCACTCGCGGTGGCGGTGGTGGAGGTGGTTGAAACATTGTTGCATTGGCTATCTGTTGTAATACATTTGCTAGGAATTGGGAATCACAAGGTCGGGTTGACCATCCGCGTTCGGGTTATTCTCAATATTTTGCTGATTGACGGGTTCATTTTGGATGGGAGGGGTAAAGCTAGATGCTTCAGTATGAACACTGACGTGTTCATTATTGTTCCCTTGTCCGTGGGCAGATTCTTGACTCATTCTACAATAACAGAAATTCCTTTATTAGGATTCTTTTATTCAGTAGTTGAGTCTAAGACAGGAATTGCAAAGGATTACAACAGTT